AGGACAAAGCATTTCCCAGATGAGATATGGGAGACTCATCCAGAGCTGTGAAGACCAGGGAGGCCTGAGAGAACAAAGATCCTAAGAGCAACGATCATGCCACCGCACTCCAACCTGGGCAACAGAGCAAGACCTTGTCACAAAAATAAATTAAAATCAAACTTCTACATCATAGGTAACATTTATTCAAGTACGTATATAAGGAAATTAGACATCGCTGTTTTAGAGGATGTAATACTCACTTCAGCCAAAATTATGGTTATTCGTTTTTCAGGTGTCCACGAAGGATTAAAGATGCTTACCTAAAGAATGTTTGCTAATCTAAAAACCTTAAACATAGCGTCTTGCTGGTGGGGCAGCTCACACAGACAATGCTCCCCACTCCTTTCACTTCCCGGTAAGAACAAACTCTGAGGCAAAGATTAGTTGGGAAAATGATGACCTCGTTCCTGGAGGACCCCCAGGAGGGGGAGCAGGTGTTTTAGAAGTCCAAACTTCAGACTGTAGGTATCAAATCTGATTTCAAGTGCATGGAACTCCATGATAATAAAGATTACTGTATTTTAAAAATGAGGAGCACTAAAGGAGTCATCTTCTTCCTAATATTTTTCTTCTTCCTATTATTTTCAATTCCACAGGCACTAAAATGCCCATTTCCAAGGATGAAACACACTTCAGAGTACAAGTGAAAGCATATTTGTTTTTTGTTTTTTTTTGTTTGTTTGTTCGTTTGTTTTTTTTTGAGACGGAGTTTCGCTCTTGTTACCCAGGCTGGAGTGCAATGGCGCGATCTCGGCTCACCGCAACCTCCGCCTCCTGGGTTCAGGCAATTCTCCTACCTCAGCCTCCTGAGTAGCTGGGATTACAGGCAAACGCCACCATGCCCAGCTGATTTTTTGTATTTTTAGTAGAGACGGGGTTTCACCATGTTGACCAGGATGGTCTCGATCTCTTGACCTCGTGATCCACCCGCCTCAGCCTCCCAAAGTGCTGGGATTACAGGCTTGAGCCACCGCGCCCGGCTGTGAAAGCATATTTAATGCATAGTATATTTAAAGCATACTTAACGTGTGTTTCACTTGCGGTACCCTGAAGTGCAACCCAAGTTAGGAAAACAGTTTTATTGATATTCTCATCTACAATTCTTATTTCTCACAGAGCTTTAGTAGCGATGGTCAGTGAAAATGAGATAACCAAGAGCATCTCTGACTGACGATATCCAAAACGGAAAGCTCACATTTTTCTCTCTTTAGCACTTCCACCAACCTAGGAAGAAGGTTCTTAAATATGCCTTCATTCCTCCAGTCCCCACCCAGCCATGCTTCTTTCACCTCTAAGCTGTAAACTGAGTAACCCCTGAGCCCTACAATCTAATATTATAGTCTGGGTATAGTGGCTCATACCTGTAATCCCAACTAGTTGGGATACCAGGCAGGAGGATCACTTGAGCCCAGGAGTTCGAGACCAACCTGGGCAACACAGCGAGACTGCCTCTAAAAATAAAAATCTTTTATAAGTTAGCTGGGCGTGGTGGGGCACACTTGTAGTCCTAGTGCCTTGGGAGACTGAAGCAGGACGATTCCTTGAGCTCAGGAGTTCAATGCTGCAGTGAGCTGTAATCCCACCACTGCACTCCAGACTGGGCGACAGAGCAAGACCCTGTCTCTAAAATAATAATAATGTTATAATCTGTTCATATGTCAGTCAAACAATACACATTCTGCATCTTCTATGTACCAGGCACCATTATGGCACAACAAGCCCTGCACTCAAGGAATTTTGTGGAGGGGGATCATTGATAAACATATAAACCTAAGGATAAACTCCAGATAAAAGGGTTAGAAACGGGCCAGGTGTGGTGGCTCATGCGTGTAATTCCACCACTTTGGGAGGCCGAGGCGGGTGGATCACTTGAGGTCAGGTGTTCGAGACCAGTCTGGCCAACATGGTGAAACCTCATCTCTACTAAAAATACAAAAAATTAACTAGGCATGGTGGTGAGCACCTGCAATCCCAGCTACTCAGGAGGTGGAGGGAAGAGAAACCCTTGAACCTGGAAGGTGGAGAGTACAGCGAGCCAAGATCACGCCACTGCACTCCAGCCTGGGCAACAGAGTGAGACTGACTCAAAAAAAAAAAAGAAAAAAAAAAAAGAAAAGAAAAGAAAAGAAAAGTGATAATGTAGTGCCTGCATGTATGCATGGTGGAAGCAGTTTTCGTTTGACTGCTGCAGTTTTGGTTTGGCTGTTCAAGAAAGCCCATTCTAGACTCAGATGTCCTTCCTCGGAGTGGCCTTTCCTGATTGTTCTACGGGAGGTCTTTGGGAAGAGCAATCTGAGTGCGAGGCAGAGCCAGCGCCAGGGCTCTCTAGACTGAAGGCGCTTGGCATGCTCATAGGCTAAAAAGGCGGCTCATGGGGCTTAGAACTGGTGAGCCAATAAAGAAGAATGAAGATTCCAGGCCAGGGGACAGACCCTGCAGGGCGCTGTGAGCCACAGTAAGAAATTCCCACTTCACTCCTTTCAGTGGGAGCACTGGCAGATGTCACACCACTGAGGACTGCAGGGCTGCCAAAGGTCTTTCTGGCTACTCTTGTTTGAACAGTTAAAGCTGCAGAACTATTGAGATTTATGCATGGAAGAAAATAGGTTCAAAAACAAAAAGGAGGGCCCCAGTTGGAGCTGTGGGCACTATATGTAAAGGCCCACATCTATGTAGATTGATGGAATCTACAGTCCCAGGAGAGGATCGGGGACAGAGGGAAGGGAAGCCAGGCGAAGGAAGGTGCACGGAAGCCTGGAGGTGGAAGTGTTTCCAGCATTTGGTTGATGCAAAGGGGGAGCTCCCTGGCAACCCTGAGAAAAGGGAAATGCGTTCCAAGGAGCTGAGATCTCACAAACCAATTGGAATGTTCTGGCTCTACTACCAGGTCTCTTCATTAAGGCCAGTTTTGGATTTACATATTTTATATTTTTTTATTTTTATTTATTTTGAGACAGAGTCTCACTCTGTCGCCCAGGCTGGAGTGCAGTGGCGCGATCTTGGCTCACTGCAACCTCTGCCTCCTGGGGTCAGGCGATTCTCGTGCCTCACCCTCCTGTGTAGCTATGACTACAAGATCACACCTGGCTAATATTCTGAATTTTCAGTAAAGACAGGGTTTCGCCATGTTGGCCAGGCTGGTCTCAAACTCCTGACCTCAGGTGAGCCACCTGCCTTGGCCTCCCAAAGTCTTAGGGTTACAGGTGTGAGCCAGGATACTCAGCCATATATTTTATATTTCTATGAAATACAAAATATTTGTATGAGGTCAGTTTTCCCAAACCTTTGCTTGTATGTGCTCAAACAATACACGAACAGACCGAAGGAAATGAACAAAAATTGTTTTAAGAAATCTACGTATTTCAAAGTAACCTCAACCTGGGGATTGGAAATTATAGCTATTCTCCAATCACTACATTTATTCTAACACACTGTTGTTCCTCTCGCCTCCAGAGAGGGCTAATCACTCATTGCCAAAACAGTAAGAGCATAAATAAGTTCTACAGGTAGCACGGGATGCGACTTGCGACATGGAAAACTGAAAAGAGCTTTAAAGAATAGTACTGACGGCAGGCTGTCTCCATGACTTCCAACACGATTCCAATTTCCTTCAACCGACGTGACTTTGCCTTCACTACACAGCAACTGAAAACACTGGTTACCAGACTTGACCGAGTAAGAATCATCACAGGCACTTAATAAACGCAGATTACAAGGCCTCCCCGAGTTAGCTATGGGTTCCCACGGCAGGCTGAGAAACTTTTTTAAAACAGCTCCCTCGGTCAATCTGACAGACAGTTCATGAATCACACTTTGTGCAACGATGACGCCCCAGTTTAGAACTGAGTAATGCACACGGTAATGACCACGGGTTCAGTTCTAGTGGATCTCTGGGGAGAGAAAAACCTGGGAAAATCATCAGTGCCCACTTCCGTCCCTGCAAGACTCAGCTCCTGCAGTCACAGACTCGTTTCAGTAACTCCTAAGCCCCCCACATGCCCCGTTCGATACAGTTTAAATAGAGGCAAAGTCTTGGTTTTAATATTTCCATCTACTGCATATATGTGTATGCTTATTTACATGCTTAAAGCTAGATTTTTCAAAATTATATATCTGTACAGCAGCCTGATAACACTAATTCCTTCTCCCCCGAATATGCAGTCATAAACTTAGAAAATTCTTTCAAATAGTTAAGTCTCAGACGACTCATCTGCATTTCTGCAACTCGAATGTTGAGAAGAACATGGAGAAGCTGATGTCAAAAGACCTATTTTGACAACAGAACTTGCCCTGTATGTGTTTTTGAATGAGTATAAATAAATCCTCATTTATCATTTTCTGCTGAGTTAACACCTATATAATGCTGGAAATTGCATTTCCAATGGGGTTCCCACTTACTGTTGCCTAAGAGCAGCTTCCTGACTGTTTAGAAAACCCTTTCACGTTTGCTCTAACACTTACCCTAGGGCTGGGTAAAGAGTTTTAAGAAAAAAGGCAGTAAGACAAGTGATCACTTTTCAGTGAGAGAACAGGTTATCCACAGTAAAGAAAAAAGAGGTTGGGAGGGAAGGGCAGTCGTGAGACAAAATTGTTTGAAAAAAGAAATGAAATCAAGAATTAAAAATAGAATTACATTTTCTACTTGGCAATACACAAACAATGCTAAGTGCACTTCATAAATTTTACTACTGTTGCTCTAAGTGATATTACCATAAATCACATTAGCAGTGTCCTTGGCACCTTTTAAAAGCAGAAAGGAGGGAGCGTGTCCGTAAGTTTAAACAGCTCTGTTTTCTCTGAAGAGAGAGGAGGAGAAATGATCAACAGCTGTTCCTGAGTTTAAAAACAGGGTTTAGCTCCCCGGCCCCACCGCTGTGCCTCCACTTCTAGCTTGGGCGCAACACAGAGTGCCCGTCTATTAGAAAAGCGTTCATGGCTGCCTTCTTGGTGCTCTTTACCTGGTGTGTGAGGGGAGACGGCCGCTTGCCCCTCTTCTCATCGCGGACGGGAAAGAGAGACTTGAGGAGCTTTGGCATCTGTGGCACGAAGGACTTGACGGGATTCAAGTAGGACGCAGCGAGGTTACCGAGTCCTGCCCGTATTACAAGGGAAAAAGAGAAAACAGGTACAATTACACACACGTTTTCTTTCCTGTACATTTGCCAGACGTCACTTGTCAGCAAATCTAACAATAAAAACTAAAGGTATCCTTAAAAAGAGAAACACAATTATTGTAGTTTCCGTAATTTCCCTCACACATAGTAATGTCCCTTTTCCAATTAAAGAGCTATAATTGGGGTGCTGCCGAAATGCTCCACTATGCACTGGTCCTATCAGCATCAGAACAGTAATTCACCTCTATCCTGTCGCTAACGGGCATAAGCTTTCACTTCTGCCCTAGAATAAAACGGGACTGATTTTTAAGTCACACTGCCAATGACACACATGTACAGCTCTCTGTCTAGACTTTAAGCTCTTTGAAGTCAGGGACTATGTCTTACTCAATCTATTTTTTCATAACTATTTACTGAAGGAAGATGATGAAACTGACCTTTTGGGAAGCTGTTTTGGGAAGTTAGGGAGAGACGCCTCGAACAACTTACCTTTTTACCTGCTGTTAATTTCCAAAAGCTTGAATCAGAGATACAGACAGGTGTATCTATGATACACTAAGATTTCTTTCCCCTATTAATTTATAGTAAAATCTAATCCAAGTCATAGGTGATAAAAAGCCATATTCACATAACATTTAGAAATGAACAAGCAAGTCACCTTAAGGAATACATTTGCCTCAACAGATACATACACTCCCCCCAAATCCTTACTCCATACTAACCCCTGAAAGGATTCCAAACTTACTGGCAATTCAGTTGGTCAATGGATGGATACCGATGTAAGCTTTCTACATTTTACAGAAAGCAGTAGCATACTAAGTGTATGTATACTTTGAAAAGTTAAGGATATACATTGTAACCACGAGAGCCCATGAGAGCCACCACTGAAAAATAAAAAAGCAAAGAGATGGCTATACCATGCCAAGAGATACATCCTAACTCAGTTTAAAAAGGCAAGTCATTTATAGGAAGGTAAACACAAGGGTGAAAAAAATAAAAGAGGGTAGACAGAACATAAAATAAGTTTAAGATGAATAAAGATCCCATAAGTAATCTAGAGAAGTAGTCAGCAGAACACTGGCTGACCACGGGGAGTGGGAATTAACTGGAATCCTGTCAAAGTCCTACATTTTGACTGGGGTATGTATCACGTGGGTGTATATAAATAGATTTGATAAAACTTATTAAATACGACCCACAGTCAACAAAATCGGGGGAAGAAATCTTAGTATATCATAGGTATACCTGTCTGTACCTCTGACCCCAGCCTTTGGAAATTAACAGCAGGTAAGAATGTATTATTAAGTATGAATCACAGTCAACAAAGGAGTCAATAAAAATAGACCATGAGATGTCTAGATACTGGATTTAACAATGAGTTTAAGGCAGCTTCCTTAAACAAGTCAGAGGATGCAAAGGAGAATACAGTCTTGACAAATGCACAGACCGGGAATATCAATGGAGAAATTAAGACCATAAAAGCAGCAGCAAATGGAAATTCTAGAACTGAAGAAAAACAAACAAAAAATGACTGAAATGAAAAATTCCCTGGATGTGCTTAGCAGAGCACTAGAAATCACAGCAAAAAACTATCCAACCAGAAAACATTAGATTAAAAGGTTAATTAAGAAAAAAAAAAAAAAAAAAAGGAGGGGCAGGTGTGGTGGCTCACGCCTGTAATCCCAGCACTTTGGGAGGCCAAAGTGAGTGGATCATAAGGTCAGGAGCTCCAGACCAGCCTCACCAAAATGGCGAAACCTGGTCTCTACTAAAAACACCAAAAATTAGCTGGGTGTAGTGGCAGGCATCTGTAATCCCAGCTACTCAGGAGGCTGAGGCAGGAGAATTGCTTAAACCTTAGCAGCAGAGGTTGCAGTGAGCTGAGATCATGCCACTGCACTCCAGCCTGGGCGACAGAGTGAGACCCTGTCTCAAAATAAAAAATAAAAAAATAGAGCCTCTGTTACCTGTAGGACAGTGTTAAGCAGTCTAACCTGTGAGTAATTAGATTCTCAGAAGAAGAAAAGGAAAAGGGAAAGCAGAAATGTATCAGTGAATAATGGCTAAATACTTCTCACATTTGTTGAAAAACATCAACTTACAGATCCAAGAACTTGACAAGCAAGTTAAATACTAAGAAAACCATACCTAAGCAAATCAGAGCAAAACTGCCACAAAGATTAACTCCTGAAAGCAGGCAACCTAAACAAAGCTATCACACTGAGTGGGAAGTGTCAAATGATGGCTGAATTTTCAGCATAAAATAAGGGGCTGGAGATGAGGAATGATCTTTGAAGTGCTAAAACAAAAAGGACTGCAACCCAGAGTTCTCTACCCAGTGAAAATATTCTTAAAACAACAACAAAACTACACAGTGAAATGAAAATAATTTCAAAAAAGGAGAGCACTTTGGAGGACTGTACTCTAAGAAATAGTAAAGAATATTCTTTGGGCTAATAAATAAATAAAATCAAATGAAAATAAGATCTTCAGCAAAGACTGGATACTGCCAGAAATAATCTGGGAAACAAACAAACAAAAAAAGAATAACCATCTTTTCTGTATTATCTTAATGTGCTTAAAAGACAAGTGGCTTTTTTTTAAGACAAGAGTCTCACTCTGTCACCCAGGCTGGAGTGCAATGGGGTGCGATCTTGGCTCACTGTAACCTCCACCTCCCAGGTTCAAGCAATTCGCCTACCTCAGCCTCCCGAGTAGCTGGGACTACAGGTACCTGCCACCCAGTCCAGCTAATTTGTGTGTTTTTAATAGAGACAGGGCTTTACCATGTTGGCCAGGCTGGTCTCGAACTCCTGACCTCAGGTGATACAACCTGCCTTGGCCTCCCAAAGTGCTGGGATTTTATAGGCGTAAGCCACTGTGCCTGGCCTGAGTTGTTTTTTGTTTTTGTTTTTGTTTTTGTTTTTGTTTTTTTTGAGACAGGGTCTTACTCTGTGGCCTAGGCATGAGTACAGTGATGCAATCGTGGCTCACTGCAGCCTTAACCTCCCAGGCTCAGGTGATTCTCCCACTTCAGCCTCCTGAGTAGTGGGACAAGTGAGCGCCACCATGCTTAGCTGATTTTTCCATTTTTCGTGGAGACAGGGTTTTACCACGTTGCCCAGGCTTAAGCAATCCACCCACCTCAGCCTCCCGAAGTGTTAGGACTGTAGGTATGAGCTACTTCACCTGGCCTAAAAGTGGCTATTTTAAAGCAAAAGGAACAACATTATAAAGTGAGGTTTCTAACACCTATAAATGTAGAAGATGAAACAACAGTACAAAATCAGGGGCCTAGAGGAACAGGTCAATGATTCATAGTGTTGCGTGGTTCCTGTACTTGTGAGGGGGGGGGAGTGGTATCATATTAACTCTAAGAAGATTTCGCAAGTTAAGAATGCAAAGTAGGGTTTCTGAGCACAGACTCTAGCGAACAAATACTGGTGTCCCAAAAAGCAAAAAGAGGAAATAAAATGCAACACTAAGAGCTTTTTTGACTAATCCAAAAGACGGTAAATAAGAAGTTACAGTGAAACAAAAAACAGAACAGCCAAGTAGAAAACCAGTAATAACATGGCGGACCTCAATGGTAGGCACTGGAAGGGGTGAAACACGCCAATTAAAGGGCAGGAACTGTGAGATGAGATTCGGGGGAAAGAACGGGACCCAACCATATGCTGTTTACGGGGCAATCACTTTTAACTTAAATATATGCTAAAATGTAAAAAGCTGAGAAAAAGATACACTGTGCAAACAGAAAATAAATTTGATGCAGTTACATACAAATAATAGGTAAGAGAAATTTCAAGGTAAGAGTATCTCCAGAGATGAAAGGGACATCTCATGACAGAAAGGTCCCTCTATCAGGAAGATACAACAATCTTAAATGTTTATGTACCTAATTAGCAGAGTTCCTAAATGAATGAAGCAAAAACTGGTATAAAGGGAAACACAATTTTCACAATCATATTTGGATATCTAATGCCATCTCAAGAACTGATAGAATAGGCCTCCACCAAATCATTAAAGATCCAGAGGATTTGAACAGGGAAATGAGGCAACAGTGACCTAATTAGATATATGCAGAACCCCATGTCCCCAAATACAGTAGTGCACACGGAATATTAACCAAGGAAGAACACAATCTGGAATATAGATTACCCCCAGTACAGAAGAAGAATTCATGGTATTTGATAACTCATGGATCAAAGATGCAATCACAGGGAAATTTTAAAATACTCTGAAGAGAATGAAAATAAAAGCACAATATACCAAAAATATGTGAAATGCAGCAAGATTTTAAAAATCAACTGCAACAGAAAATAAAACTAAGAAAGCCAAAAATTGGTTCTGAGATTAATATATCTGATAAATCTGTTCTGCAAGTATTCAAAACAGAAAATAAAAATTATCAGTATCAGAATAAAAAGGAGCATCACAAGAGATCCTACAAATAAAAAATCAGGTAAAGTGATGTTTATGAAAATAAACTTAATAATCTAGATGAACTAAGAGGTCCGTTGAAAAATATAACCTATGACAGCTGAGGAGACACAATGATCTAAATAAATATTCCTATACTAAAGAAACTTGCTGGGCGAGGTGACTCATCCCTGTAATCCTAGCACTTTGGGAGGCTGAGGCGGGCGGATCACCTGAAGTCAGGAGTTCAAGGCCAGCTTGGCCAACATGGTGAAACCCTGTCTCTACTAAAAACACAGAAATTAGCTGGGCATGGTGGCAGGTACCTGTAGTCCCAGCGACTCGGGAGGCTGGGGTTGCAGTGAGCCGAGATCATGCCACTGCACTCCAGTTTGGGTGACAGAGTGAGATGCTGTCTCAAAAAAAAAAAAAAAAAGAAAGAAATAAAGAAAGGGAGGGAGGGAGGGAGGGAGGAAGGAAGGAAGGAAGGAAGAAATTCAAGTCATAATTTAAAATCTCCCCACAAAGACAATTCCAGGGCACAGCATATAACTAAAGTCCTTAACAAAGAGGTGCCAAGAGAGTCCAGCAATGTACAGGCTGACACATCATGAGCAGGCGGTATTTATCAGAGCAATGCAAGATCGAGCCAGCATTCCAGAGCCAACGGAACTCCACCTGCTAAGATGAGAAACGAAACAATTCGGATCGTCATTATCTAGTAGAACAGCAGCTGCCTGGCAGGAAATCCGAGGTTAAACTTTCTGAAAGATACTCAGATTTCTAACAGTAACTGACAAGTGAAAAGGTAACTTACCTGGATCCCGAGAATGGTTATTTTGGGGAGAAACAGAGAGGACGGGGGTGATGGGAGCTGTTCCCCTGGAAACTGCGCTTTGGGATACATCCTGCTGACTTTCCCACCGGCCCTAGCAAAGACAAAATTGGCAATTTTGTTTCAATTAACAACAAAAAAAGCACAGATACTCAAGACAAAAAACCGTTATGTATTACTAAAGTTCCTTTGTAGAATATAAGCTTGATTACATAAGCACTTTTGTTTTCTCTATTTTAAGACACAGGGTTTCTATCTGTCACCAGGCTGGAGTGCAGGGGTGCCATCACAGCTCCTGTAACCTCCAGCTCTTAGAGTCAAGCGATCCTCCCTCCTCAGCCTCCAGAAGAGTGGGGACTAAAGGTACATGCCACCACACATGGCTAATCTTTTTATTACTTTTGTAGAGACGCGTGTCACTCTGTTGCCCAGACTGGTCTCAAACTCCCAGCCTCCAGCAATCCTCATTCCTTAGCCTCCCAAAGTGCTGGGATTACAGGTGTGTGGCACCATGCCTGACCAGCACTTTTCTTCTGCTTGTCATCCTGCTTGTTGTATTAATTTCCCCAACAACAATACCCCCTTATTTGGACAGCCCCTCCAAACAGCAGTTTACAATTTCCCATTCAGCTACATCCTACTACGTGTTCTACACTGGGCATCCTGTTGTCTCCCACAGAAGACGAATGTATTCCTTCTGCAATTCTGCCTTTGGTTCTGCTTTGAGGCCACCTCTGCTCTTTTGCCTCGAGATACCCTTTTTCACTCAGTTCTCCATGGAAACCCACAAACAACTCTTTAGTCAGAGTGTGTCTCTTCTTGCCACTCCTAGACTACACTTCCACCGACTCACATGTAGTACATAACAGTAAATATTACCAAATCTCTCATTTTAAATAGGTGTTACAGATAAATTACAGTCAAATAATTATAAATTCTCAGTGATGGAAGTCTCTGAATTACCAAATTTTATTGTGCTCTCAACTCATTTGTAAATTCCTGTTAAAGAGATTTCAACTGAGATTTCATCAGTTGAGGGATTAAAAGACCATTCCAAAATTCATGGTGAGCCATAAAAACAGGGATACCATCAAAGCACTTTTAACCAGCCCTATCTAGGGAAGAAATAAGCCCCAAATGTTGCTTTTATTAAAATTGGCAAGAGATGAGACACAAATCTTTTAAATGCTTTAAGTTCCCTTTGATCCTCTGATAATCACTAACTTCTTTACCACTGGAGTTTAATAATCACGTGTAATACAAGTTGTATTACCCAGTGCAGAGATGAGTGACCCTAACGATTACCTTTTCTTTACTAACTGCCTGAACAGCAGGATGGGGACAGCGAGTTCTCCGCTGCTCTTAAAGATGGATTGAGGAGGAAGGGCCTCTTAGGTTTCAGAAATGCATTGGAAACCTATCTGCTTTTAGCAGCAACCTAAGTACTGATCATAAAAATCAATAAGCCCTAAGTGATCTGGATCCTGTGTACCTCAGAGAAAGCCACTTTCCCTAGGAACTCTCTCAGCACTTGGTATCGTTTTTAAAAATGGTGTGATGGTCAGGACTGATGAGGAAGCGAGGAGAATAAGAGAGACATGAACACGTGACCAGTGAGACCGTGGGCTCTGAAATACTTCACCGGAGGAGTGCTGGCATCTCCATGAATCACACGCTGATTCACATATTTGAATGGTTTGTTAATTTTTGCATTCACATTTCATTATCTGTCTGGGAAACTGGGGCCTTGTGTACCCTGAGATATCCCCATCAGGTGACTCATCACTAAGGTAGGCCATCCGTGGAGTTTCTCAGAGAAGAAAAGCCCCCTGCTTTGTGTACAGTGGCGAGCTCACACACGGCTATTCTGAAGACAACGTACTTAATTTGGAAGCATTTATTTATTTTCCTATTTTAGGTTTTTCTTGTTTGGCAGCTCTACGGCTGCAGTCTGGCCCTAAGGAAAACTAAGCTGCTGATCTCGAGTCAGCACCTGGGCTGTCTGACATAGAATTGGGCCAAGAGCAAATCATGGAGTGGCCACCTCTTCCCCAAGGCACACCAAGGCCCTGGTGGCTTCACAGGCAGTTCTTCCCAGCAGGCTCTCCCGCACACAAGGTTCCAACCCAATCAGAAAAGAAGCATTAACTCCGTCTCCTTTACTCAAATACTGCAAGTGAGAAGACTGAAAGGTACACAATGTGTGGCTCCTGCCAGCCCTGCAGAGCATGACAGAGACACGGCTCACTCTGACCTCTACCAGAACAGCCATCTTAACCTTGAGGAACCTCACACGCCGCTCCTCCCCCACAGTTCTGATCCCACTGCCCTGGGACAGGGACCTCAAATTGCACTGGGATGGAACAGGCTCCACTTCAGAGGGAGCAGCTGATGCGGAGGAGGTGAAACTGGGTGCCACGCGCTTCCCTCCTCCAGCTGACACAGACGGAGCTCTGCAGAAACCCTCCACTGGAATTACTGGATTTTTCTCCTCTGCCACACCTCCATTCTCTTGACAGAGATGAAACCTGTGGTTTAGAGTACAGCTACATACAGTTCCCCAGGGACAAAGCAATGACTATCTTTGCGATACATTTCATATGCTTGGCGGTCCTAGGGTTATCCTCCCTTTACTGAAATGTTGGGGCAGACCAAAAAAAATAAAAAGAAGAAAAAACAGTTCAATGTACTTCCCAGGGAGATGAACTCAGGACCACGGACTCAAGGACTTCGCAGGGTGCTGGGACTTCCAGCTCTCAATAGTTCAGGTCTAAAAGCCAAGAGTATGATCCCAGTTTTACTTCTCCTGCAGTGATCTGCGCCCCACCACCTGAAATTGAAATCTCTCATTTGTCTCTAACATCCTGCATGTCTATCACACTTCAGAATCAGCTGTGATACGAGTACACAAGAGGGAAGCTGGCTTCGTTTTGGATCCTTATGCAGCTTGATCGCCATTAGGACACATTTGTCCTCACAGGTGGACTCACAGAAAGAAAACCCTAGTCAATGCTGCAGTTACTGGTAGCCAGCACCAGGCTCAGGGGCAAAGTGAGGTAGGAACGCTGGAGGCTCCCAGGGGACCCAATTTGGTCCCCAGGGACACCTGCAGTTTTCCCACTCCCGCTCCTCTGCCAGATACAAGTTATTCGGGTTTTCTGGGAATGAGTCTGGTTTTGATCAGGAAAGTGACAAAAAGGTAAATAACAAGAAGTGCCAGTGACATTTCGGGTCTAAAGGCGGCTCCACTGCAGCTGGGAGAAGAGTGACTCATGCTTGGCAGCTCCTCCCAGGGCTGCATGAAACCATCACAGTTTTCAGGAAGGCCACGGAGCCAACACAAAATTCAATTCTGCTAACTGGGTGTTTGTTCAGGCTATTGACCAATCTCAATTTCCTCAAAAACTCCAATCAAAAGATGACAAACATACAACCTTAAACCGAATCGTTACAAATAAAATTTCTCCTAAAACAGCTTCGGAAATAAAAATGATTTTGTCAACAGCGTTCGTCGTGTTTCAAAAGACCTCGATACGCAGCCGACTCGGGTGGAAAGACCAAAGACACGCCGGGATTCATCCTGCACCTCGACCTCAGCCGGTCTCGGCAGACAGTCACAAAAAGCCTGCTAAGGTCTCATTACACCCATAGAAATATCTGAAATATCTGTACGATAATGATCAAACACCCAATAACAATAAATAGCAACACTGCTTCCATCAGGGATCATATTTTATATTTTTAAGTGAAAGACTTATCCCAAGGGTGATTTATTTTAGGCCCTACAGTGAATTTAACATTTGGAATAGTTAACCAAACTCTATCCTTTTTAAGATTAATTAGTTCATCAATTCAATCTCGGTGGAGCTCAGTAAAACAATACCACTTTTCCTATGTAGGGATGGACATCAACAAACAGGGGAACGGAAAGCAGGGCTGGCCTCATTCCAAGTATTATTAGGCCAAACCATGAATCTGCCTTTAGAACCACTGCTTTCCTTTCGCCTCCCACACCCCTAATCCTATTACCCTCCTCTGCACCTGCCTCCCTGCCCACTTCACCATGTCTCTCATGCACCCAACTGAGCAACTGAAAACTAAGAGAACTTCCCCAGAGCCTCCCAGTGGCCTCTGTCTGCTTCCAACATTATTCTAACCGCCCTGACCTGACTGCTCCAGTGTGGTGTGGTGTGGTGTGGTGTGGTGTGGTGTGGTGTGGTGTGGTGTGGTGTGTGGTGTGGTGTGGTGTGGTGTGGTGTGGTGTGGTGTGGTGTGGTGTGGTGTGGTGTGATGTGATGTGATGTGATGTGATGTGATACAGAAGACACAACACAGCCTGCAATCTACAGTGTTTATGTGTCATCAGCATCAGTGAGATGGATGCGTGGATTAACAGAAGAGAACCCAAAAATGTCTGCAAAGCAGACACAACTCAAGTCATTACAATTTCCGATGATTTTAAAATGGCATTCCTAGTATCATAAAGTCCACCTTAAAATTACATTTCTGACTCAACTTTCCTGTACCTTCAATATTTTCATGCAAAGAAACCAAGACAGTCCCACTGGGCCTCTGGTGTGAAAAGGTCGCCCAGAGCACCTTCACCATGGTTTGCTCCACTCGCCCTCACCCAAGCTTCCAAGTCTCCAAATGTTTATTATTGATTTTAGTATGAATTAACTCCAACTCCTCACATTCCAGGACCTTCCAAACTCAGTAGGATGCCTTCAGTCCTGGTCTTTTTTGACAGATAAATACTTTTACCAACAGTCTTGGCCCCGGGTAACAGGGAACATTTACAAGACATCATACATCCTGGTTGTACAGACAGACAGACAGACTGCCACAATGATTTTTACAAAAAGGGTGAGGGTTAGTACAGTGTAGAATGCAGTCATCTTCTAAAAACTACAGTTAAAAATGTATTCATAAGCTGGAGGTCAAAGCAAGCCTAAGTTTTAGATCGTAGGATAGGGGTCGTACCCCACTGATTAGGAAAGCCTAATGAATTATTCACCTCTCCCTGCAGCTCTGAAAACTGAGGAATGCAGAAGGCCCCCAAAGAAAAAACAACCAACAAAAAAAATCATGAGT